ACTTTTGTTGCTACTGTTATCATTGTAATTGCAGCTCCTGATGATGATGGCAAAGTCCATTGAAAGCTAGAGAGAATTAAAAAAGTATAAAGAGTCCTCTTTGCTTAAATTTTGTCGAAGTACCCAACAAAAGGCGGAAGCTTTAATTTTTTCACCTAACTGGTCTAGACGACAATGACCACGTCTCAAAATATATATATATATATTCTTCGTTTCCTCAGGTTACACCCGTAGCCGTCTCCTTGAAAATTCGAGGTCGTATAGCCATTTTATACTACAATGTGTAGGTTGGCTCTTGTTGTGGACTTCGTGTGTCGTTTTTTTTCCCTCCAACTTCGTTTCCTCAGGTTACACCCGTATCCGGATGTGTGGGCATGTGTATCTACTTTTGTAGTTTCATATGTGCATTCATTTCGGGCCTGATGAAGCCAACCAGCAGAAATACGTATCGCTCGGGTTACCTATCCTATTTTCTGCTCGAATCCACTTTCCTCCTTTTTGCGGATTTTGCCCATTATTTTCCCACTTGTTGTTATATACCTTTCTCCGCATGATCATATTCTCTTTGTAGATCCTTTGGGCTTGAAGTACCACAGCAAGTGGCTATAACCGGCCGCGTGGTGGTGGTTAGACGTCTCCTTGAAAATTCGAGGTCGTATAGCCATTTTATACTACAATGTGTAGGTTGGCTCTTGTTGTGGACTTCGTGTGTCGTTTTTTTTTCCCTCCAACTTCGTTTCCTCAGGTTACACCCGTATCCGGATGTGTGGGCATGTGTATCTACTTTTGTAGTTTCATATGTGCATTCATTTCGGGCCTGATGAAGCCAACCAACAGAAATACGTATCGCTCGGGTTACCTATCCTATTTTCTGCTCGAATCCACTTTCCTCCTTTTTGCTGATTTTGCCCATATTTTCCCACTTATTGTTATATACCTTTCTCCGCATGATTATATTCTCTTTGTAGATCCTTTGGGCTTGAAGTACCACAGCAAGTGGCTATAACCGGCCGCGTGGTGGTGGTTAGACGTCTCCTTGAAAATTCGAGGTCGTATAGCCATTTTATACTACAATGTGTAGGTTGGCTCTTGTTGTGGACTTCGTGTGTCGTTTTTTTCCCTCCAACTTCGTTTCCTCAGGTTACACCCGTATCCGGATGTGTGGGCATGTGTATCTACTTTTGTAGTTTCATATGTGCATTCATTTCGGGCCTGATGAAGCCAACCAGCAGAAATACGTATCGCTCGGGTTACCTATCCTATCACATCAGGCATGTGGTGGCCGAAATCGTTGATGCAGTGCTGGAGGCGTTCTTGGAAGTTCGCGTAGACTCTCTCCAATATCGCTCTCTCAACTTGGGCGACTTCCACGCGAATTTCGCCCTTCAATTTTTCTAGAGTTCGGGGCTTGTTCGCGTATACTCTAGCCTTGAGGTGTCCCCATAAGAAAAAATCTCATATGTATAAATCAGGGGACCGAGGCGGCCAATGAACATCGCCAAACCTGGAAATAAGGCGACCAGGGAAGAGAGGGCGAATAACGTCCATGGATGCTCGGGCTGTGTGGGCGGTCGCCCCATCCTGCTGGAACCACACACGTCGGATTGGAACACGTCGCCGCGCCGTCGTAATTCAGGGAGAAAGAAGTTGGTGATCATGTCGACGTAGCGCTCTGAGTTCACGATAACATCACGACCATTAGCGTCTTCGAAGAAGTAAGTGCCAATGATGCAAGTTTGCGATACAGCGCACCAAACCGTTACTTTTGGGCTGTGCAGCGGTCTTTCGTGTAACTGTTGCGGATTTTCATTAGCCCAATAACGACAATTCTGCTGGTTTACCATGTTGTTTAGGTGAAAGTGGGCTTCGTCACTCATAAGCGAAAACGCGGTGCTCCACCGTCCAAGGCTCCATAACGACAACAAAATAATGCTAGGATCTCACGAGTCAAACGGCACCCTCCAAAACTCTCTCGTAGACAGAGGCGGAGAGTACTACCCATCCCAAAATCGTCCGTCCTTTCTGCCGCACCCTGTATTAGTAAAGCCAGAAAGATATGGTCTAAGAGCAACTGCACTTGAGATGTTCAAGTCATACGTCTATAATAGACTACAGAGCATTGAAATTGTTAAAGGAAGTCAAACACACAAGTTAAACATCGAGTTTACTTCAACCGGTATAACACAGGGTAGTATACTTGGGCCTATTTTTTTATAGCTTTTTTAAATGATCTGTTTTTTGTTTCTAGTGGTGATGAGAGCACCATAAATTATCTGCTAAGCTGATGACATAAATTTAGTGTTGGATGGGACAAGGGTAGAGGACCTAATTGCTAATGGGAATCTCTTATTCAGAGGTGTGAATACATGGTTTTCTGAGAACAAACTAGTGCTGAATAAATCCAAAGCTGATGCAACATTATTTTGAACTAAGCAGAGTAAAGTCATTGGGCCACAATGTTTCGATATAGATTTATAGATAACTGCAGTTGAGTGTAAAATCCTTAGGCTTCTATATGAATGTTTAGGTTGGACAATACATGTATTTGCACTGCTGAAGAGGCTTAATTCCATTTACTATGGTTTTATGGTAACATCAAGGTACCTTAATGATTCGAGTATGAAAATATTGTACTATGCTAGTTTTGAAAGTGTGTGTGAAGTATGGGATTATTTTTTGGGGGCGCAAGAGGTTTATTCAAAAAAATTTGTTGTTCAAAAAACAGCAGTACGACTGATAAAGAATTAAGGAACTTAAGTTATCGTGCAGGGAAGTGTTTTAAACTGAAAAGATCATGACTATGCATGCCATCTATGTGTATGAGTGTCATTTTTTTTTCAAAAATAAAAATTTATTTGAGCTTGAGGTGCGAACTGTTTATGATACTCGAACAGTCAGTGTTAATTATCCAATATATAGATTATCCTCCACAGAAAAAAGCCCTATTTTCATTATATAAATTTAAATCCATTAAGCAATATCTGGTACAGAGCCTTATACCATAGATGAGTTCTATGTGAGTTGTAATAATTTCAGGTTGTAGCTGATTTAACATATGAAACCATATAGCAAGAAAAAAAGGTATGCGGTAAACTACTATAGTTACGAAGATAGTGACGCAATATTTCATTTTGTAGTGGCTATACAATTTCTGTAATATCATTATACAATATGAAATATAGATTATTATAATTATCAACAATAACTTGTTCACATCAATTACAAATTGTGAATAAACTGATATGCCACAAAAGGAAAATGTCCTTGTATGTGGATATAATTCTAAAACAACATACATATAACATAATAGTTACAATACATTGATTGGACTAAAACAATATATAATATAAATGTAATATGTACATTAATCTTGTATCGTAGATTAGCAATGAAGAAAAGATATTTATATGTTAGTCTTTTATAAATTACCTACGTCATGTTTATATCAGTATTCAATAGCCACTCGTTTAAATCTATTTTTAATAATGATATTCTTTTTTTTTTAATATATTTTAGTAAGTTATGCTGTAATTTTGGACCTAAGTATATAGAAGATTTCAACATTATTCCTTTTTTGGTGTTGCAATAATTATTTATTCATTTTTATTCCTAGTATCATATTCATAATTTTTATTAATGTCCGAATGTTTTTTATGGAAATCTAATATAACATTATGCCAAAATAATTTTTTTATATCTAAGAGTTTAAATTCTATAAACAGCGAATTGGAGGGATATAGTAAAGGCTTGTGACAATGAATTGTTTTTGAATTATTTGTAGAGAATTTAGATGGTTATTATTCGTGGATCCCCAGATAATAATTCCATAGGTTATGTGGCATTCAACTAATGTTTGATATAAAATTTCTGATTGAGTTTCATTGAAAATTAGTCGGTAATATCTGAATTTTGTATAGCAGAAATCTAAGTTTCTTTTTCATGTATTGGATATGTTCATCCCAACGAAAATGGCAGCCTAAAATTCCAAGATACTTATGATTTAGTTTATGTGATATATATTCATTTTGGAGGTTTGTTTTCTTTATATACAAGTGGAATATTCACATACAATTTCAGCTGTACCAACAGTTGTTAAAAAGTTACGATTGAAGAAAAAATGAATAAGATGCACAAAAATGCGTTGTTTGACAAATAAATTGATAACATTGCTTTTTAGTCATCTCTAAATACACCATTAGATGAGAATGATCTAGAATACTGCTCCAAACAGGCAGTTGGAAAAAATGGACGTGTGACCTTAACAGGAAGTCTTTTTAATATACAGTATTTCGAATGCATGTTACTAAAAATCTCAAAAATCTATTCAATAGACCCAGGTTACGAAGTTTGAACCTAAGAGCTCTACTCTACTCATAATAAAGTCCCAGTTCCTTGAGAAAGATTTTTGGACAACACTTCAATCACTTGCAATTTTGCTAAGACTGGCAAAACAAATAAGGCATCCTCAGAATAAAGAAGCTCCAAGAAAAAGAACTATACATGCGGTTCTACATATTGAAATCTTCAATATTAAAACTACTACAGTTTTACCAGAGGAATCTTTTCCTGAAATGCTCAGGCAGCAGCAGTGGCCGCAGTAGTAGACTCTTCGGTCTCTGACTGTCGAACGCTGAGGTACCGCCCGGCGGATCTCGTAGGCGGGGCCAGAATGTGTGCATGGTCATGCACACGTGTTCCCTCGCCAGAGTTCGTGTGGCGTTCCCCTTTTACCTATCCACCTATAGCCCCACAGTACCCCATGGGTGTTTAGGCCTTAGGCCTTCGTGGTAGTTGGAATATATATAAAAAAATATAATGAAACACGTGTCGGTATTAAAAAATAGGTTTGGCAGGTGGTAAAACTGAGGTCATAATTGCTATGCCAAAGGATCCAACATCACCCAAAATCTTCAGTATTGCTAGTAAGGATGTCAAAATGTACCGTGAATACCAATGTTTTTTCCTGCTTAGCATAATAACTAGTATAGGTGGAACCGCACCTTCCGACTAGAGCAGCAACATTTGTGTAAATGATGAATGAAGCAACGGAACCCAGAATACAGCCAACCAAAAGAGATCCTATCGAATCTGGAATCGGGCTGTTCGTTACAGAGGAAATACCCATACAACCGGCAGCTAATATCACACCAATCACTGCTGCAGCATCCTCAAGAAGCACCACGTTCACACTCGGATCTTGTGCCCTAAAAACTGAAATATACTGCATTTAGTTTGCGTAGTTATTGCCGATTTCAAGCATTCTTTGTCATCCATGGCTGTACATAGATCACCAAATCATGTAGAACAAAAAGAATTCTAGAGTTTGAATTTCAGACTGAAATTTGTATTAGACAGATTTATAAATTTCAAAATCTCCGACTTACCATAATCCTTGACAGTCATCTGCATCTGCTTAGCACCTTTTCTGATAGAGTTGAAAGCAACTAAACAAGTTGCACCTTCAGATACTAAAGAACCACCTAATATGAAGTAAGCCTGAAAGAGAGAGTTAATTCACTTTATTAAAATATACTCTTTTTAGTTTAATTGTTGAAGATTACCCAGAACAAGTCTTGCAGTGGCTCAGGATTCATAATACCTACAATACCATGATAAAAGGAAAGCCCAGTTCCTACACAGAATATACCAACACCAGAAATAAGTGATGCTACATACTTCATATTTGAGTACCCATAAGGATGATATGAATCAGCAATCTAAAAAAAAAGTTATCAGTTGAAATATGCAAAGGATACCATCAAACATTTTAAAAATTTCATCTTGGAATTCGGATGCTCCTTTTATAGAGAGCAATATTAATGCAATTGATGCAAATGGTATTAGTGACATTTTTGTATTACATACATGTCTTATCATTGAACTTCCCTTGCTAGCCTTGATGATCAATGAATATCTCAAATCCTAAGATGTATTTCTAACTTAAGATACTCACGTCCATATCATATTGTTGATAAATACCTGAACAGATTTATGAATTCCATAAGCTAAAATAAGCTGGTTGATTGTATCAGCTAATGAATGTATACATTCTGAAAACATGCTATGAGATCCAGTATAAATCCAGGCAAACAATTTGAATAAAAAGTTAGTACCATTACTGAAACAAATAATATGATTAAAAAATATGCTGAGGATATGCCATATCTGAATCCACTAACATTGCTACAGCAGTCAAAACTACTTTTCCGGATCTTCCAAACAGCCCAGCTTCTTCTTCAACAACATCAGTTGATTTTCCCATTTCTCTTCTGAAATCTCGCAACCTCCTTTTTACAGTGAATATATCTGAAAAAAATAGCATTAATCAGACTGACTTCATATTTTTCACGCATTTCCAATATACACAAACCAAAGAACAGTGAAAAGAAACATGAAACTCCACAAAAACATTTTTTACCATTCTATATTTAGTAACAACCATATCGAAGGGTGTCCCACAACTGAATTTTTTCATTTACTCATTGTTTTCCTGAAATGCTAATTTTATCAATTAATGCGGAATGTTCCACAATGCAGTGAGCCCTCCCCTAGATTCTCAGGTCTATAGAGTGTCCCAATAAATCTGCCAATCGATATTTGGTGTAACATGGGAGCTAGAAGCGCCCTTCCACTCTTGAATTTTTTAATCGCCGACACTCGCTCTCATTAGCGTCGCCTAAGCTCGCTCTCAGAAGCGTCGCCTAAGCTCCCTCTCACTCCCTGCATTTTCATTCATATCAATGGGACCTCGGTTGGCCGCGTGGGTCAGAGTGTCGTGCTACTGATCAGCCGGCCGGCCGGGCCGCGAGTTCGAATCTCCCCTTCGCCATGGATGTTGTGTGTTTGTTTTAGGCAGCAGCGGTAGCCGCAGTAGTAGACTCTTCGGTCTCCTGATCAGTCGCCGTGCGCTGTGCGGGTTCGATTCCCGTCTCCAGGAGAAATGTTTCTCTTGGCCATGGATGTTGTGATTGTCCGTAGGTGGTAGATGGTCTCTGACTGTCGAACGCGGAGGTACCACCCGGCGGTTCTCGTAGGCGGAGCCAGAATGTGTGCATGTTGCATGCACACGTGTTCCCTCGCCAGAGTCCGTGTGGCGTCCCCCCTTTCCCATGTATCCCCCATAGCCCCACGGTACCCAATGGGTGCTTAGGCCTTAGGCCTTCGTGGTAGTTGGAGTATAAAAAAAAAAAAAATGACATAACTGAGGAAAAGCTTCCAAACTACTCGTTTTTCTGGAGGGCACAGGCCTGTGGACCACCCTGACGCATTGTGATAGGACAAACGCTCAAAGATAATAACATCTTTTTATTTTGTTATAGTAGTAGCTTACTGCTAAAGTTTCATGAAATTCCGAATATTTTTCGACTTATAGAGGACTCAACAATTTTTTATATTCAGGATCACCAAAACTTACTTTGCTGATACTTCTTCCTCTCAATATCCCTCTTCAGTTTCTCTCTCAACAGATTCTCCTGGGTGTCCCATATCTCCAGTGCCTTAGCCTCAACATCCTTTCTCCAATACACTGTGATGGGAGGTTCGTTTTCATAGGGAGAACGACGTTTTGTCTTTGGAAGTGATTCAAGATCGGACGGCTTCAATAAGAAGTCAGACATTGCCTTGACCGGTGTGATGAAATTTCTTTCCAGTGATTGCGCTGAGACATCCAACCGTTTTCGTTTCTTTGGCGATTGTTTTGCTATAAATTTAAGTTTGTTATAAAATATTGGAGTCCATGATGCTGAGACTGGTAATGGTAATGCACATATCTTGTTCTTTGACATTATAACAACTATCATGGTTACTTGACAACCATACAAGGACTTAAGTAAAGTGCAATGTTGAATATGCCTCAGCCACTGATTATAACCATGAGCTGCCAGACAGCTACAAGTATTTGATTCATAGTTTATCTGGGATCTAGATCTTACTGATAAGCCTCAATAAAGGCAAAATGACAATTGGTTGGTGCAACTCTCTATTATGTCTATGACTTCAAGCAAGCACACTGTTTGTTGCTGACTCCGTCATAAGGCCATCAGTGCAGTGGAGGAAGGTTCCTTACTTAATGGTAGTAGTACTGAGTACCTAAGTGTGTTTCCATAGTTTTCACAGTGTCCGTGTTAGTTGATTAGTAGAAATTTCAAGTAAGCAAAAAAGCTACTGAAACTATGTTTATGGTCTTTTATGCGAAGGCCTTTCAATCTAATAGTCTGGTTTGTCCATTTTCGTAAAACGGAACCGACTGTACTCATTTTGAGTGGCCTACAGTATTATCGATATTATGCTTTAAAACTAAATAAATGTGGAAAAGTGATTTGCACAATCAAATCTGTTCATATTTTTACTCATCATGGGGGGCCTTTTTCAAAGTACAGATCAAAATGCAATGACAATAATATATTTTTTAAATGTTAGTCAAAACTCAAGCCTACATATTTGTACCGCAGGGCCAGACTAGATTAAGTCCAAATATGTAGTTTTGAGATAATTGCATTTGAAATATCTTTCTTGATTGTATTGTATGTGACTTAACATTATTTATGTAGTCATAACTTCCTCATTATTAGAGGAAGGTAGACCTTGCACGTAGCAAATAAAAATTCACAATATTATTCTGAACTTGACATATAAAACTCATTTAGCCAAAAATGGACTTAACCTAGCATGGAGAATTATTAGAATCCATTAGTGAATAATCCTGAGTTAAAACTACATTTTTACAAATAGTTTTTAATTGCCAACCTGTTGTACAATGATTTATATCATGCTTCAGAATACATTTTTTTATGTATGAGTAAAAAGAGCATCTGAACCAACTACTACTCTACAATACTTTAAACAAGAGGTAAGGTCCTATTGACATGCGTGTGAAGGTAGCTCCAAAAGCTGGCTTCACAATCCTACCGGCCGCTCGATTACAACGGACCGAATAAATGCTGTCCGCCTGCCCGTGAGGCGCATACGAGGTGAGCGCAGTAATTATATACTCGTATATTCTATCTGTGCCTACGAGTCTTATGCTATTGCGGTATTGCATTAACTGGTTCTGCAGAGTTTGTAGGTTCGTATCTAAAGCTAGTCGTACACCTCAACTCATAACAAACAGTCCTGTCGTGTATTTTTTTCCTGAAAACCTGCAGATGTGCGTCGATGGGCTTTTCAGGGTTTAAGGCCCGTATCGTCAGTCGTCCTAACAATTGTAGGGCGCGTTTATGGCCTCCTTGATTGTCATACTCCTTTCTCTCCTTCAAAATTTCTAGATTACACTTGTCCCGTGTCAGCGTCAGCGCTCTCCTATTGTGAAGATATGTTTTATTTTTAAATTGTAGGAAATTTCAGGCTGATAAAATATGATATAACTCAAAAGCAAGCACAATTTGATGCAAATAGATGTTTGTGACATAACCTCAAAATAGAGTGCTGACACGGAGAAGTAGAAAACTATGACAATCAAGGAGGCCATAAAGGCGCCCTACAATTGTAGGGACGACTGACGATACGGGCCTAAAGTACACAACAAGAGCTATTAAAATCAGTTATCGGAATGTTGTTACAAACGGTCTTACACCCCGGCTCCAAAGAAAGAAGTCTGTCGGGTACGGTGCGAGATACTCCCTGCAATTTAGGAATTTGTTTTTTTCGTGAAAACCTGCAGATGTGCGTCGATGGGCTTTTCGGGGTTTAAAGTACACAACAAGAGCTATTATAATCAGTTATCGTAATGCTGTTACAAACGGTCTTACACCCCAGCTCCAAAGAAAGAAGTCTGTCGGGTATGGTGCGCGATACTCCCTGCAATTTAGGAAAACATTTTTTGTCGTGAAACCCTGCAGATGTGCGTCGATGGGCTTTTCAGGGTTTAAAGTACACAACAAGAGCTATTATAATCTGTTATCGTAATTTTGTTACAAACGGTCTTACACCCCAGCTCCAAAGAAAGGAGTATGTCGGGTTACGGTGCACGATACTCTCTGCAATTTAGGAAAAAATTGTTTTCGTGAAAACCTGCCGATTTGCGTCGATGGGCTTTTTAGGGTTTAAAGTACACAACATGAGCTATTATAATCAGTTATCGGAATGTTGTTACAAACGGTCTTACACCCCAGCTCCAAAAAACAAGTACTGGGACAAGTCGAGCAATCGCACGATGTTTAATTCGTTGCGGTCTGTTCGACAATATGCCCTAAACCCTAAACAATAACATAACGCACATAGCGTTTCCAAAGCTTGGTTGTGGCTTGGATAGACGCAATTGGGGTGTTATACAAACAATGATAAAGTTCATATTCAAAGACACAGATATCCTAATTAGAGTATACCTGCGTCTTTGAGTATGTACCTGATGGACGTGGAAGTGGTTATATGGCTGATTTTTGACTTATTTATTCTAAATTTCAATTTTATTCTTGCTTTCGGCGAACCGCCACTATAAAGAAAGGTAACGCGCCGCAACAGTACCTCCTGGGTGGTGTGGAAATCTTGATGGACTAGGGTATTCAGGTGTCATAAAGTATGCCAAAAACGTGAAATCTGAAAACTCTAGTTTACTACACTATGAGAAAACTATTAACACAAACTGTTTGTCAAAATTTTGAATCCACTGCCTCAGAATAAGGGTCACGTGTTTTGCTAAAAAACTTCAACTTTTCACGAACAAGTTTTTTTTCTAAATTGCAGAGTATTGCGCACCGAACCCGACAGACTTCTTTCTTTGGAGCTGGGGTGTAAGACCGTTTGTAACAACATTTTGACAACTGATTATAATAGCTCTTGTTGTGTACTTTAAACCCTGAAAAGCCTATCGACGTACATCTAAGGTTTTCACAAAAAAAAAATCCTAAATTACAGGGAGTATCGCGCATCGTACCCGACAGACTCCTTTCTTTGGAGCTGGGGTGTAAGACCGTTTGTAACAGCATTACGATAACTAATTATAATAGCTCGTGTTGTGTACTTTAAACTCTGAAAAGCCCATCGACGCACATCTGCAGATTTTCACGAAAAAAAAGTTTTCCTAAATTGCAGGGAATATCGTGCATCATACCCGACAGACTTCTTTCTTTTGAGCTGGGGTGTAAGACCGTTTGTAACACCATTACGATAACTGATTATAATAGCTGTTGTTGTGTACTTTAAACCCTGAAAAGCCCATCGACGCACATCTGCAGGTTTTCACGGAAACAAATTTTTCCTAAATTGCAGAGAGTATCGCGCACCGTACCCGACAGACCTCTTTCTTTGGAGCTGGGGTGTAAGACCATTTGTAACACCATTTTGATAACTGATTATAATAGCTCTTGTTGTGTACTTTAAACCCTGAAAATCCCATCGACGCACATCTGCATGTTTTCACGAAAAAATGTTTTTCCTAAATTGCAGAGAGTATCGCGCACCGTGCCTGACAGACTTCTTTCTTTGGAGCTTGGGTGTAAGACCGTTTGTAACAGCATTACGCTAACTTATTATAATAGCTCTTGTTGTGTACTTTAAACCCTAAAAAGCCCATCGACGCACATCTGCAGGTTTCCACGAAAAAAAATGTTTTCCTAAATTGCAGGGAGTATCGCGCACCGTACCCGACAGACTTCTTTCTTTGGAGCTGGGGTGTAAGACCGTTTGTAACAGCATTACGATAACTGATTATAATAGCTCTTGTTGTGTACTTTAAACCCTAAAAAGCCCATCGACGCACATCTGCAGGTTTTCACGAAAAAAAATGTTTTTCCTAAATTGCAGAGAGTATCGCGCACCGTACCCGACAGACTTCTTTCTTTGGAGCTTGGGTGTAAGACCGTTTGTAACAGCATTACGATAACTGATTATAATAGCTCTTGTTGTGTACTTTAAACCCTAAAAAGCCCATCGACGCACATCTGCAGGTTTTCACGAAAAAAAATGTTTTCCTAAATTGCAGGGAGTATCGCGCACCGCACCCGACAGACTTCTTTCTTTGGAGCTGGGGTGTAAGACCGTTTGTAACAGCATTATGATAACTGATTATAATAGCTCTTGTTGTGTACTTTAAACCCTGAAAAGCCCATCGACGCACATCTGCAGGTTTTCACAAAAAAAATTCCTAAATTTGTTTTGACAGATTGTGCGAAAGCATTTGATCGGGTTGATTATGGTCTGTTGGTGAACAAGTTGGGTAAATCTGGGTTCTCAAAAAGTGCATGTGAGCTTATGGCATCATACCTAACCTTAAGGCCACAGCAGATTAAAGTTGGTAAGCATTTATCAAAGTTGAACATAATAACATCTGGGATGCCCCAGGGCAGTAATCTTGGGCCTCTATTATTCATAATTTTTCTGAATGATTTGCCAAACTGTGTAAAATATGCCAAATGTCTCATATTTGCTGATGATTTTAAAATATAAAAGCATATAACTTGCCTTCAAGATTGTATTGAGATGCAAACTGATTTAAGTTCGGCGTCCCAGTGGTTCAAGGAGAATAAAATGTCGTTGAATATTGCCAAATATCATAGTTTAACTTTTACATGAAAAGCACAATTTATAGATGTTAATTACAAAATTGATAACTTATTGTTAAGTAGGAAAAGTGAATGTAAGGATCTTTCAGACTAACCTAAAATTTGATCAGCATTATAAAACTATTATAAACTAAGCATATAGGATCCTGGGTTTAATGATACAGGAAGGAATACAGAGCACTTTAAGGAAACCAAGTCTATAATAATTTTGTACAACTCAGTGGTCCGACCTGGATTAGACCAAATTCTAAACAAAACACATAAAAATGATAAAACCTATATATCACAGGTTCACAAAAAAGTAAAAAGTGGTGTGTAGTTTGGCTCTCACCTTATTTCACCCATGTATTTATTTCTTTTAAATACAAATCTAAAGTGAAAATTGGGGGTTGATACAGTGGGATCTCCCAGCACAAATCAATTTTTTATTCTGTGGTCCTGTGTAATTAACAACGACTAAAGTTAAATCATCAAAATAATTAATGGGTACCTTTTAAACCACAACTATACATACCTTTGACCTCAGCTTCTTTATCAGTTTTACCCAGAGATTTTGCTTTCCCTGCTTCTTGTATACCAATACCACTAATTTCAGTATTCAAACTTTTCTCCTTAATATTCTCCAAAAGTTTTATTTCATCAGGTTTTTTCACATTTTGAGATATCACTTCTAATATAGGCTTGTCATTTCTGTTATATAGAGTTGTTGCCCAGAATATTGTTCGTTTACCTACTTTGCTATCTATCTTGTAAAGTAGAATTCGTAACTGTCCCAACTCAACATGCTTAGCTGTTATCAGGAAATATTGATTAAGAAGGCAATTATTTTTCTCAAGTTGTACCTTACTTACCATCTTTGCAAATAGAATGTCTTTCAAGTCTGCATAAGTTATGCCAGACACTTCTTGAAAAATGCATGCAATTTCTGGCTACCATCATGGAAATATTTGAATGGAAACTATTGCCTAAAAAGATGTTATACTGTTTGAAATGAAATTGTGACGACAATGTAGTTTAATTCATATCATTTTTTTTTGCAGTTATGCTGTTATTTTTTACACAATTTTTTTAATCAAACTGGGATCGAATTGAGGTTAGATTCAGGATTGACGGTCGCTGTCACGTCACTGTCATTTTACAGCAAGTATAAATCAAATCCAAGCGGATAACCAAAATTTCTGTGTTATGTGCCGCGGTTATAATATGGTTCAAGATGACACACGGGTTGATGACGTCAGTTCCACGAATCGCTTGAACGCGTTGGTTTTAACCGCGGTTTTGTTGCAAGTTGTTTATTTTACAAAAGCGCGCATATAATCTCTGATTATTTTTATTATCACTTAATAATCGGTGCTTTTTCGTCTAGAACTGTATATGGAAAGTTTAAATAAGAAACCTTTCATAATATTCATGGGAAAAATGTTTATTTCAGATTTTTTTTTTTAATGATGGAACCATGGCTTTGTAGCTATGATAACTTTCAATTCTCTAAATTTTTCCGCATGTCAAACAAAACATTTATTGATTCAGCAGAAATGATGAAAAAAGAAATTAGCAAAACCGTATACAGGTGTATATCATCTAGTGAGTTTATATGGCCATATTTTAATATTCTTGTGGTATATGGCTACACAGGATACTTTGTTAAGCATAGGAACTACATTTAAAGTGTCCCCAACAACCGTAATGAGTATAACTAATAAGGTGCTCCACTTTATGGTAAAACTGAAGTCAGTCTGTATCATTTTTCTCAAAAATGAAGCTGAAGTACAATAACAATATCCAATACCCGGCAAAATTCTAACTTGTCACATTTCAAATAATAACCAGAAATATAAAACTATTCTTGAGTTGGGTAAATACCACAATTTTGCGGTGATAACTATGACATATAACAGCTGATTCGTGACGTCACGGATCATATAACCAAACTGATAACTACATTCGCTTGAACGGATTGGTAAATACCAACCCAAAATGGTAAATACCATTTCCATTTGGTTATCCGCTTGAATTTGATTATAGTGATGGTATCAATATTCGATCTACTTCAAAGCTGAGGCAACGTAAAAAGTGCCGAAATAAATACAGTATGAAACTGACACAGAAGCTGCTCCAACAAAATTTCATGTTTATTGCATGCTTCCAAGGCAAAATCAGTACACGTACCCGCTGTAGCACCCTGTAAAATTTCTCGGATCAACCTCGTAGATGTTCTCCTGGTACCGCCCACTGTCCATTGAACTGTGCTTTGAGCTGTCTGCTAAATTGTGCTGGGTCTTATGTGTTTTGTCGTTTTGTGGCTGTGAAAGACATGAGCCATGGAAAATATTAAATATTAAATGTGTTTGATGTTTTTTCTTGGGTAAAAGATGTTTTGTGTGTAAAAGGAGACGCATAAATATTTTGTCCCCAGCATGTGTCGTTTGGTGTTGTTTGAAAATGTTTTTCCACGAAGATTGTTGTTGATAATTCCGGACTAATTACGGCATAAGTGTAATTTCATTATTTTCGGTTTAGCGAAAACGTGTAAAATGGTAGACAGAAATGAGAAGTGTTTGAGTGAATTACTGCATTTACCAGGAAATAGTGTTTGTGCCGATTGTGGAGTCAGAAGTAATTTTTATTCTATTCAAGTCTCGCGTAACAGTCTTTTCAACATGTGTGCCACATATATCCGTTATTTTAGTTCATTTGAAGGCAGATTTGCCAAATATGAATGAACTAATCTCATTGTCTTTTTGTTTTCTTTTTTTTAATGTGTATTTGATATCCAGTGTTGGGCCAAGTATGTATATATTGCTGTTGATTAACAATGTATCTGGGTGATCCCACTGAGAATGCAGAGATGACATACATTCCAAAATTTATCATTTTGGTAAACACTACACTAGAATTTGTTCTAGGAAAAAGAAGGGCATACCTAAATGTGCTTTCTGCTTGACAAACCTGCAGATGTTTCCTCATTCCTATCAATATAGAAATATTTCTTAAGTAACAGCTCAATATACTGAAAAGTACAAGAATGCATTCTACAAGCTATAAGCTAACTTTAGTGGCAGTATAAATTAAAAATTTCAAAATCCCTCACCTTTAGACTGCTGATTATTGTATCATAAATTAAGTTATTTTTTTGGTTTTGCTCCAACTTCATCATGTTCTTGTGCATTTCAAAAAAATTCTAACACTACTTATTATCACAGGATGAGTCTGTGTTGTGTTCCAATCTGTTTTGGGATTGTTCTGGAATTGTTTTGTAACAATGAATTTGATACTTTTATTGAAGGGACTGACCTGCATAGTGGAGCAAATGTAATAGCAGTATACCCAGCTTGAATAATACAAGATCAGTGGCTAGGTTGTAGGTTCTGTGCCAAAATAGAAAGAACATAAGTGACCGTTCATTTATTATGTAAGCACTAAAGAGGGGCAGGGGAGTGTCTCTGCTTTACTTTTATTAATGATGACATGGGGAACGGGGGAGTCTGGATGGTGATTACATCAGCAATATTTATTTTATTACTTTTTTAGATTTACTACAAAAGTTAGTCGCTTTTGAGTTGAAGTCATCTGGCAACCCTGCTTGTCTATTCTTGAAAGCAAAACACATCTTTAGGGATTCCCCTAATATGCTTATGCGCTTAGAACCTTAGCTATAAATGCTCCTGATAGAAATATGTATAACTGAGTAGAGTACAGAATGGCTCCTCATACCTCCTAGGAATAGGCTGCTTTGATACTGCCTTGTGACCATTTTGACATTACAATTAATGAACATTTAGAAAGAGCCAATGACAAGCTTACCAGAAATCTATTAGCACAGCTATGAAGTTCAATGATACTGCAAAGAATGTCGGGTCAGGTGAGCCAGATCTTCCTGATTTTCCAGACATAACATTGATATTGAGAACATGTGCGTGACAGCCAATACCTGCTTCAAATTGTAAAATGTACCAAAATGTTTACATTTTACTTTCTTTTGCAATCAAGGGGAGAGGGGTTGGTTTAATAATTCTAATCTGCTTATATAATACTTGAATGTCCCATAAACCAGTGGTCAACAACATGATAGCTCTCTATTTGTCACCCACAACTTTATTGTCTCTGTTGTATACCTAGATATACTAAGTATATAAATGCTTAATTATTTTAATTTCCTTTAAATAAATACATTAAAGGATTATTTTCAATACAAACTAGACAGAGACAGAGAAAAAATTCAGTCAAACAGGTCCATACAATTAGTTCATAGACATTCTTTCCCTGCCCTACTGGTAGTGCCTTTGAAAACATTGCCTCTTCCTAATATTTAACCCAGTCTAACTTGGCAGAGTGGTCAGAGCATATATATAGTATTGACATTCTCCTGGAATGTCATCAAAGACTGAGCGGTATTTCTCAAGTTATAGGTGGTTATAAGCTCTACAGACAGACAGGCCAATGGAAATGAGTGACATGATTTTTTGTGATGTGCATATCATATAACATCAAAAAAACATGACATCTCATTTTCAAAAAGTAGTTTATTTTTAATCCACAGTGGTAGCTCTCTTTTTCTTTTTTTGCCACCTTTGGCTTTTGACTATCAAAGGTTGCCAACTGCTGCCCTGAACAACTGTCACACACACATATTCCTATTCCTTAATACAAGAAGGGATGTTGTATGCAAACATACATATACATTTTCAGTAAAATGGTAGAATTTTGCTCAAGTATTGTTATAAATTCCAAAAAATTAGTACACTAGACAATATTCGCCTGCAGTCACTTTCTATGTGCAATACAATTCTGAAATTGTTTTGACCACATTCCAAGATAGAAACGATTATATAGTCATAATCAGTCAACACACCCAGAAAAAAATGCAACAAACAATATGCAAATGCTATGATATCAGAACTCAAAGTTGGAACAAAACTACAGACAGAGTGTTATATACATGTAAAAACTTGCAACACTCCTCTTTTGCAGCCACGGAAAAGAATACTTATAATATACTAGCCTACCTCTAGATGACAAGTAATATTGTTATTGTAATCAACTTTTAGATCCAGAATGGGCATCATACAATATAGGCATATTCATATGTACCCGCTGCTCTGGGGTCCATCGCAGTATGGGTGTACATATCAGTAAAGTTAAGCATTTGAAATTGGATAGATGGGAAGATTCACAAGTGGAACGAATGAAGGAAGTGGGAAACATTAAGGCAAAAATGAAGTATGAAGAAAGAGTACCTCCATGCTATAGAAGACCAAAAGAAGGAGATCCACAGTAAGTATAAATCATAATAAAGTGAAGTGGTTACTATTTGTAATTCTCTTTTTGATGCTGGAATATTGTTTCATAATTAAGGGCCATATCCTCAGTCGTTCCTACAATTGTAGGACACCTTTATGGCCTAGCGCTTCATGTCAGCTCTCTGTTTTGAGGTTATGTTACATATATTTGCATCAAATTGTTCATGCCTTTGATTTATATGATCTGTTATATCAGCCTGAAATTTCATACAATTAAAAAAAAAAGCATAGCCTCACAATATGAGAGCGTTGTCACTGAGACAGAACAGCAGAAATATAGGAATTCCCCAGTGTTCATGCAAGTTCTAAAATATACTTTATTATTTGAACTCAAAAGCCATACAAATTCAAACCCTTTGGCATGTGCGCATACAAGTAAAACATGCAATAACACCCAGCCCTACTGAAGGAGAGATAAAAATCAAGGAGGCCAGAAAGGCGTCCTACAATTGCAACGACTGACGATACGGCCATAAGAAATGGTTTTGACTGATTGTATACTATATAAGTTTTGAACGCGTCAAATATCTGAAGAGTGACTCATTTATTTTTTTTAAAAACTGGTAGGTTTAGGTTTGAAAGGACGGCGGATCCGTTGACGATATCCGCGATGTTGCCAAATGATTTTTAGAAACTGATAGCAACTATTGTTTTTCTTATGGAATCCTGTACATTTTATTCGATATTTGTATCCTGGAAGAAATTCTGAATACCTTTTTGTCAAATATACTTTGAAGTGGACCTCATATAATAACAATAAAGGTACTTTTTTTCACAGAAGCAATGGTATGGAAAATAATTTCCTGGCATTTCTGACATTGAAAAGTCCATTGAGTTTTGTTAGTAAAGTTATAAAAATATAATTTATTTAACTAAAACCAAGAGGATAGAAATTCTAATATTGATTAAAATAGTGTATTTGATATTCCAACGAAACAGGAGAACAATTAAAAACAAAGAAAACGATAAAACCTAGTTGTTAATTTATACTTCAAAACAAGATAAAAATCATATTACACGTTTGAATTTCCGTCCATATACTTCTTGCCAATAAGCTAGATATTGCGGAAATGCGTTTAGAACGTTATGAGGACATACGCTTTCCTCGATTTTTCTGCATTCGTTTTATATTCGTTGTTTTAGTTCCTCCAAATCAAATGGTTTGGTTTTGTATACCCTCACAAAAAATAATCGAGGGATGCGAGGTCAGGAGACCGAGGTTGCCATTCAGTCGTACCTCTTCTACCTATTCATCTTCCAAAAAATGTTTGATAAAAAAATTCGCGAACGTTTCGAGCGTAATACGGAGGTGCACCATCTTGTTGGAGCCATATTCTATTGTTGGGCACTATTATTTACTAACAGAAAACAATATTGATATTTTTAATTGTTTTTGGTAATAAAAGTAACGTATAAGGATTGGGAAATATTTCCGCCAGAGCTGGGACAACGTGATTCCTCAAAAGATGCAAATATCTTTCAGCGTTTAAATTTTCGTCCATGAAAAAAGGAACGATTATCTTTTAACCTATGATACCGGCTAAAACATTATTTTTTTATGGATATTGTGTATGATGTTCCCGTACCCAATGAGGATTTTCCCTGGCCCAGTAGCGGCAGTTATGGCGATTAAGAGTTCCGTTCAAAGAAGAACTTGACTCGTCCAAAAACATTATTTCGTACAAAAATGTTCATGTCTATTACACAAGTCCATCATGGTCTCACAGAATTGTAAACGCCTGTCAAAATCATCAACTGATAGCTCGCTCTTGAACCAAGGTGACTGTAAGGATGAAATTTGCCCGTCTTTAAAATGCGTTCCACATACATGTGAGACGTTATGTTATCCTCACTATGCATCTATGCACTGCCGTTTTCGTCCAGCTATAGTATACAACTTACAGCTTAGACCTCCAATAGTGCCATCTCTGAAGCAGATGTTACATCACGTCAGAGCTAAACATTGATAACTGAAGCATCATAACATTTAGGGAACACCTACAACTACAAAACGAGTTGACAACAAGTATCCATCAGCTAGTGCTAAGTTAAAATCTTGTATCCACGAAGCTCCTTTTTTCACTGTTATTTTTTTTTTCTAAGTTTGGAGAAATAAATACTTTTTCACATTATATGTACTTTTATTATATATTATTTGAGAGAGAATGTCTCTATTGACCTTTCGCTATTGAAAGCTTGTTTAATGCACTACAAGTTAATTCCCTCAAGTTAGTGGTGAAACTCAATGTACAGATAAAATACGAAAAAAAAAAACAAAATAAGCAGAATTATGGTTGCTGTGGTTAATAAATACAAAATGTCAATGAATGTTTCATAAAGTTTCATTATATGCACAACAATACAAATTATAAATGCAAAAAAGAGTTATGTCACACTTTGAGATATAATTGAAATTTCTTAATTCCCGATTTTTTGTATATTTAACTTTCACGTTGTGTTAGTGCATCCTCTTTCCCATCACTCCCGAAAAGGGAGATTACCTTTGCGTTATGCTGCCATAATACAAAAATACAATCTATGCAAAAGATATCTACGCTATTGATGAAATGAGCATCTCCACACAACAGTAACTTGATAAATACAAAAACTGTGGGTTAGCTCACTTAATTTTATAAGCATCCTCGGCGGCTCCAAGGGGCACATAATTTGATCGCGTTCGAAAACTTGAGCGTATTATCACAAACAAAATTTCGGATGTCTTCCATTATTGTTGGTTAATACTTCTAAGATATTTATCTTCAAAAATTATCTTCTACGATCCGACCTAATATTTCTGAAATTTTATCAAAGTTATATAAAAAAATTATAAACTCTCATACGTATACCCCTGGTTTCCTGTTTGCAAGCTTACATTGTCTATGGCTTGCGAAAAACTGTTTGATCGCAATAAAAGTAAACATAATATGAAAAAGCATTTATTTTTATTGCAGAACCGCAGGACGGAGTTCGAATCCACTGAGCTCTTTTTTTCTCTATTGTTTTTTTTTTAAATTTGGGGAAATAAATGCTTTTATGTGTACTTTTATTGCTTACAAACAGTTTTTCGCATGCTATAGACAATGTAAGCTTGCAAACAACAGGAAACCAGAAGATGCTTGAAAAATTAACTGAGCTAACCCACAGGATTTGTATTTATCAAGTTACTGTTGAGCGTAGATGCTCATTTCATCAACATCTTAGACATTTTTTGCATAGTTTGTATTTTTGTATTATGGCAGCATAACACAAAGGTAATCTCCCTTTTCGGGAGAGATGGGAAAGAAGATGCCCTAACACAACGTGAAAGTTAAATATACCAGAAATCGGGAATTAAGCAATTTCAATTATGTCTCAAAGTGTGATATAATTCTTTTTTTGTATCTAACATTTGTATTGTTGTGCAAAGAATGAAATTTTATAAAAGGTTCATTGACATTTTGCATTTAATAACCACAGCTGCTAACCATAATGCTGCTTACTTTTTCGAATTGTTATCTGTACATTGTGATCCACCACCAACTTCAGGTGATTAACTAGTAGTGCATTAAACAAGCTTTCAATAGCGAAAGGTGAATAGAGACATTTTATCGATAATTCTCTCTCTCAGACAATATACATAATGTGAAAAATATTTATTTCTTCAAATAAAAAAAGGGAGCTTCGTGGATTCAAACCTCCGACCTGCGGTTCTGCAATCATCAACTCTTCCTATTAAGCTACGACGCCTCTTGGTTTACAGGATCCTCATATCACTATACTTGACCCTGACAAATGTCAAGCGAACGTTGGAGGCACATCAAATCTCTTATAAACAATTACAGTACTCTTGAAGACCATACAAGATACAATACTGAATCTTTAAATAATGCATTAGGGACTAATAACGAGCATTTTAACCAATTTTTAAGACGATCAGTTTTTTCGTTTTCTCGAGTATATTTTCCAACATTTTGAACTCGAAGTCGTTTTAATCGAACGAGATTTCGAAAACAGACGTATACTATATTAATATTTTTAGAAAAAAAGGCTAGGGAATTATATTTCTTCGTAAAGAAACTGGATTACGTGACCTATTTATTTGACCAAATCTTGCAGTTATCAATAGTGCAGCCATTTAGCACATGCTACATACTAACTAGTGTAAGACAGTTTGAAACGCAATTGTGTCTTCAGTTTTTTATAAACTTTAAGGCTCATGTGTGACCGTGTAAAAATTTCAGCTAAAAATATTTATACCTAAGAGTACGAAGAAATCTTGAAAAAAAAATGTTTTCTTCACAACAAAACGTGATAGACAGATCCGCTTTGTTTTAAAATGTGTATAATGTATGTTTTTCGAATATCGTAGCGAATCTGGTCAGTTACTCAGATACAGTAGCGACTCGATAATCCGGATCAATTAAAACCAGGTGCATTCCGGACTAATGAAAAATCCGGATTAGTGGGAATCAAAAGGAAAACAAGTTCTTGATATTACACAGATGTTTGTTTCATAAAAACTGAAACATAAATGATCTACATAGCTAAAATAAGCAAATAAAATAAAAAAGTAACAACAAATTTAATTATTAAAAAAATCTGTGATTTTTGTTTGCCTTTTATGGCAACGATTGAGGTATGTGCAATATTGTTGTCTTCTGCCCATTTAATCCCTGCTGTAAAATGCGCAATTGCCTCTTCATGTTTAACTTTTGCTACAATAAATTGGTTTCCATTTTGTGTTCCTACGTGACTTAGTGAATTTTCAGAATAGTCGTCTTGAAATATTATTCGTCTTGAAGAGTATCTTCTTCAGGTTCTTCCACCCACTCCAAGATTTCCCGTTCTGTAAATTGTTCAGATGATGTTTTTTGTAGCATTGTTGAAATTTCCTCAATAGTCTCCATTTGCTGCTTTATTTGTACGCGCAATAAGCTTAATGGCATTAAATCTATTAAATCTTCCGGGTCAGAATCTAAGTTTTCAGCTAACAAC